GGTTTCATTCATTTTCAGGTGTGCAATATCATATTTGGACATTTTAAATTCAACGTCAGTTCAGCCAGTTTAGATATTTTATATCCAGTGCCAACATTTATACATGTTATTTTTCAAAGCATATTGAGACAATGATTAGACAATGTGTGTAAAATGTACATTTTGTTCCCAAGACCACCAGTTGCACTCTCTGTCCTGTTGCTGGATTTCATATAAAGATTACTCTCCGACACAACTAAATATTTAAGGGAGAGATGGTTCAGAAAATATGGTAAAAGAACTTTTCCTAAACCTACATGAAAACTTTTTTCAGATTTACTGTCAACACGAGATTAGTAGAAATATTCATAGTATGAAAGTTTTAAGTGTGCAGTAACTCTTCAGTTAACAAAATTGTCATCCACAATTACAAATGTGCAGTATTTAGCTCATGGATATGTAGTGGAGTGATATTTCACGGCTGAATGGCTCACCATTCTATGTTTCAACTCAACAGCTTATCAGCATGAGCAGTAGGTACAAAACAAGCAAAAGACAAAGTTGAATGTAAGGCTTCTGGATGGATGATGTGCAAGAATTACTTGCGCTCTGTGTGGAATACAACTGATTTACTGCCGTCTACTTTAGCCTTCCCACATCGAACTTCTGACTAATCAAATTGTTCTCCGCGCATTACGCTATCAAAGTCTCATGTCAAAGGTTCACATTTAGCTGGTTTCACAGAATCGAAGTACTGATCTGCAGTCAACTTTCCTGGCTGCTTCCTGGTATGGAAACATGTAGCTTGGTGGCCATCATTATTATATGAAACTCCTCAGGTTTTTGAATGCAGTCTGCACATTTCTGATCAGCAATAGTTTTGCAGAAGGCCTGCTCTGGAAGAAGCTGGAAGAGTGAGCCAAAGCTCCAGGCCCCATCATTTTATGTGTACTGCCCTTGAGACTGCTGCTATAGAAGCTAGCTCTCCAACTTTTGTTGGTTTCTTGATTGGTAACTGGGGTGGGACTGGGGGAATGACAGTAGTGAAGCATCACCGTAGTTGAACTCTTAAAGCATTCAAATTACATCACCTTAGATGCTACACGAGGTCACTGAAAAGGTACCAAACCTGAAGCAAAAGGCACTCAGCAGGGACGGTTATTGCAAACAGTGTAAACTATAATAATTTAAAATAGCTAACAAATGGGCAGAGATGTTCATATGAAATAGCTGTAGTCCATCAAAGGGTCATTTTTCAATGGGTCACATAATGTGAGCTAATTTAAAAATATTAGGTCCAACAAGACTTAGTGGTTGCGTCTTCCTCTTTCTTCCTAAATTAGTACTTGATAAATTAATTTCTCATTTAAAAGATGTACTGCACTTTGCATCTTAAGTAACAAACAACTCACTTTCCTATATAACACTAATCGAGTTTTGTGGTTTTAGACTCTAGCAACAATTCTATGCATATTTACTAGTGAGTATGTCCAACCAACTTCATGTGACTTGCTTCTAGGTTAACATGCAAGGATCAGGTTGTAATCCACCAAACTGTTCAGTTGATCTGCACAATATGAAAAATTCCCTTCCTATAATTTAAGCATCTCATATGGAATAGTATTATGGCATAAGCAAAAATACAGTTTTACTGTACAATACAGCAAAAATAATTTGTTTGAAAATACAGCCTCCATGTGAAACACCATTATACACAGTTTTATAGTTTTTGTAAAACTAGTTAGTTAAAATATTTAAACATTTCATAATACCATTATTTTAAATTTAATTTGAATCTATACAACAGGAACCACCAATATCCAAAAATACCAAGAATGAAAATGTTTCGTTATAAAAATTATACAATTTAAGTTCTTATCAGGTAGGACTGTACACAATTTCCCATATAACACATTTTAAAAGAAACACTTTCACAAACACAGTAAAAGCAATACTTTAAGAGCCTGCCCTTGTGGCAAGAGCTGCCTTGTCAAATTCAATGCCATTTACTTTCACATCTTCATGGTGCTTACCTCAGTCATCAGTTAATGTTTCCCTTCCAAATAGATCCACATTACTTTGACAACAGTTTGAGACTAACGTATACTGAAATATTCCTCAATCTAGGCAGGGGCTCTAATACTAAACTCACTGGGTGCTCTGATTAACACACCAAGCTCTCAGCTATACAAGGTTTCCATATTCACATCACTCTACAATGGGCAGTTCCATCTTGCCTAAAAAGACTGGAGCTGACCCCTTCAAACGTGAACAAGAAAACTTTTCACATGCCATATATTCCTGTGTATACTGAACAAACAGCAACTAGACTAGGCCATCTCTTTGAAATACAGAGACTGCTTTCACAATTATGTATTTCAGCTTATACTACCAGGATATCACTCTTAAAAGTTAGCTTTGGGCAGGAAATATTGAGATGGAATTAACTCATAGATTATAGGAATGGAGAGCATGATAAAGCCAGGTATCGTACTATCCCATTTAGAGTATTTATTGTATTTTTTGCCCACTAGTGACAGTCACAAAATATTAGTTTCAAAACATTACTCTAGACAACAGTATGTGCAGGATTTAGAATGTACTGTTTGTTGTCATAAGTCAAGAGTGAGTTATTACCATAAAGTTTTGGCTTCACTCAACTTCCAATTTAAAGCATTCTGCTTTTCAAATTCAATAAACATTTTAACCAACTCAAGTACAGAAACTTAAAATTAGCTGGAACTAACTATGTTGTAGTTGCAGTAAATATTGTAAGGAACACAGCAGACTACTACAAAACACTAATGGAACACAGCACAGAGGTTAATACCCTACAGACTCTGCAGGATTTCCACTGACACAGCACAAGAAATATCACCTACCTTCACCAGATATATCTTTCTCATATAAAAATATTCTGTGTTAAAAGAACCTGCTGATAAGGATGTTCTAACTACTAGACCCAAACTTCCAATAAGGAAACTGATAAGACAAACTAGCACAACTTCTTCAGAATATGGCTTATTTAAGAGAACACTGAAAATACCTAATCACTCTCAAAAGTTAGTATCACCTATATTTTGACTCTCATATATCACCTTTTTAAACATATATTTAAAAGGAATCTCTATCGCATGTTTCTGTATGAACACGATTTCCAAAGTACTGATCTATATTATCTGCTTGCTACATTTTGTTGCTTCCAGTTTATTACAATCCATACTTTAGTGAACCTGATGATGTATCTGTTAATACAGGTCCCTGATAGTGCTGTTTGTCCTATAGATGCAAGATAATTTACAAGGATTCAAGTCTAACACAATGTTGATATTAAGTCTGGAAACCTAGGCTTCATTCCATTTCAACCTAAGTAGTCTAGAGAACAAAAGAAGACAAGAGGAGATGAAGTGTTTCAGTAATTCTCTTACAGCAGTTCTAACCTAGTAGCTATTAATTTTTGCCTGCTCAATAAGCTTCTCTGCCAAATGAATACAGGTTGCTTCCAAGTCTTGTTACAGGTCTGAATTCAAGCACATTGTTCTGCTTGACCCAACAACCGAACAGTCTTTTTGGTTACAGAAGAGACTTCCCCGCAGCCAAATCCATGTTAGGCTTTGTTGCCTCAGACAGATTTCTATACATGCCAATTCTACAAACGTGCCCCTATCTAGTGGTGAGCACTGTACTGATAGCCATTCCATAAACATTCTCCTTACCTGCCCTGCCTCCTCTGTTGCCTTTTCGCCATACATTTATGTACGTGCAAATATCTCCAGAAAATTACCCCAGGTTTTCTTGTAACAGAGTTCTGTTTATTCAGGACAGATTCTGACCACATAAAATTAGAAAATTTTGAAGCTACTTAATGTGGGCATTGTTATTCTTGGGCAAGAGGCAATGTATTTATACTGAATAAGTGGAAACAAGTACCTTCAGTTGGAGACCAGAGACATTTCTTTAGATATTTTCTCCAGTAAAATCCTCTTAAAATCACAGAGGCAGATCTTAACCCCTTTTGCTAGCAGGAGGAGGAGTAGATCTTTTCCAATGCCCCCTTGTACTGAAGAACCCCATGGTATTTCCAATAATCCACCAACTCCTGAATGTATGATATTGGAGGATGCTGCAGTGGGGGAGGGGTCACTTATATGAGTGTCAGTCCACTCTGCTCATGTTAGATAGAAATCTCTTATTAATGCAAACTACTTCCACTTATTTACTATACGGTGAATTGCCCGTGACAAAGAATGAAATAAACCCAACCATAATTTGATGAGTTGCTTCCGACGTTCCCTTCAATTCCTTATAGCCACCCAGTCGATTATATGAATGAGGCTAGATCTTTACTAGTACAAACAAGACCAGGGCCTCTGAAAAACAGGCATCTTAACATACAACTCAGTACGTTTCTTAAGATATTTATATGGCCGACAAGTCCTATTACACAATTTCTGAATAGCATTGTTTTGACAGCACCTACATGGGAAGTTCACTCCAAGACTTTAGTTATGAGATGAGCCAGGAAAGGATGAGAGCCCCCAGCCAGATTTAAGAATGCAGCAGTATGATTGTATTCTCACTAAAAATGCTGGTTCAGTTAGAATACCAATTTTTTAAGTATTTATCCCTTACATAGGATCATTCCAGTTTTGAAGATGTAGCATATTCTGCTAGTAACCCGTTATTCAGAGATATGGCTCAGTCTTCTGGCTGCATGGACATTTTGTTTAAGCTAAAACATTTAAGGGTATGAGCAAACTCAACCATTTTTTCAGATACAAATTCTCTTCCAATTTAAATCTAAGCTTCATTTGTTATTTTTTATAACTACCAGTTAAACTTCACTAGCACTTCCCTTATTTTACTAAACTATGAATAATTTTCCTGAGTAAGGTTATAAAATATTTGATCATTCTACCAAAAGTACAAAGACAAGTAAAACAGGGAACAATACAAACCAACATATAACAGGATCACAAGTGCAGAAATGTTGTTGCTTTTCTTTGAAATTGGCCCCCCAGTAGAAATCATAGCAAAGAAATTCAGGTATCTAAAATATTCTGAAGGACAGTAATTAAGTTCTTCAGCCCATGAATATAGCCCTCATCTCCTGTGTTGCTGGGGAACACGTGCGCAAAATCAATCATTCGGACTTCCACCTCTGCGCTTTCTGGCACCACAGTGGGCCTGTGGCAGAAAACTTTTTCCAACTGAGGTATAACATTTCCGTTCAGATGTTCTTGTGAAAAGCATGCACTGCTCTTCCACAGGTTGTCTTGTTCCACAGTTTCGACTTTTAGTGAAATCTGACTCTGGTGCCTTTTGTGAAGTGCATACATTTTGGAAAAACCTCTGCCTACAGAGGACTCGAGCTTGCCGTTTTCTGGAGAACTGATCACACGAATGTTGTTGTTGTAGTACTCCAGTGTATTACCACCTGGGCCCTGGGCCTTGGACACTCTTCTCTTCTCGACCAAAGTGCTGTCATTTAGCCATGCTGTTGTCATCTGAGATGAGCCATCATAGACAAAGAGTAAGGAACTTGCATAAAAGTTAAGATGCTTCTGGCTCTCAAACCACTGCAAGATTTCTTTAATCTTCTGAATACTGGCAATGACGACATCTTTTCTCAGGTAGTATCCATTATGGAAAAACCGAGCGACACCTGCAAGAAAGAAATCACTGCAATTAGTAGCTGCTGATATGGAAAGTTAAAATAGTCTCGGTACATGGAAGCAAGTTTTAAAAAGCAAAAGCAAAGAGCGATTTGGAGCTATTGTGACAAAAGAATATGGGCCCGAATTATTTTTATAGATTTTAGAAAGCAGAGTATCGTGTTCCACCCAACGTGTTTTAAAAAACTGGTAACTGCTCTACTTTAGATACCTGATGGTCAAAATATTAACTTAGTGTAGTTAGTTATATCTAGAAGTTTTTGAGATGACTGGGTGTTGATCCAATTAGGGATGGACATGAACTGAACCACTGAGCAATATTTGTCATGAATTTTGCCCTGTTCGTGATTCGTGAACAGATGTTTGTGACAGGTTTACCCTCACAAACTTCTACAAACTTTTAAAGCAGTTTGTGGCGGTTCATGATGCTTCGTCCATGGAGAAGAAAGCAGGGGTTTAAAGGGACTCCCAGTCTCTTTAAACCCCACTTTCTGTTCCTTGCAAAACCCACAAAAACAACTGAGCAGCAGGGGGGTGCTCCCCACCACTCAGCTGTTTGGGGCTTTCTTGTGCAGTCCTTTTAAAGTTTAAAGAACTGCACAAGAAAGCCCAAAACAGCTGAGTGGTGGGGAGCAAGCTACTCCCCATCACTCAGCTATTTTTTGGGCTTTCTGCAAACCTCATTTAAAGGGACTGCAGTCCCTTTCAACAGGGTTTGCGGGATCACAGAACCAAACTGTATTTTCCCCAGTTAATGCCCATCCCAATACCCATCCAAGTCTACATGCATGTGGTTCACACAAATTTTTAAAGAAATGCTTGTCTGCCTAACACTTTGCTTCAGAGGAAAAGTCTGATCTATTTTGGCAAACTGTGACCAAGTAAACCCCTAGTTCAAATTTCAACTCTGATATGAACTCATTATGTTTCCTTAGGTAAGCTTCTCGTTCTTATACAGGGATAATTTATTATTATTATTTATCTTATAAAACCTTATAAAAATTACAGTGAATATGAAGCTGACTACTCAAAACACACAGAATAGATTCTGAGTACTTTCAGTTACACTGCAGAGCAGAGACTTTGTATCCAATGGATGCATTATACTAAAAATGGGAAAGGGCATTCCTCCCTCTTCAACCATCCCCTCAACCCTGTCTGCATCTCTCTTTCCTCCCCACAGCCTCTTGTCATATCATCCCCTAGAGGCTGCTTAATTTATTGTATTCACTTGTTCTAAACTTTCACTATCAAGGATGCCACATATAAGGCACAAGCCCCAGCTACAATACTCTGGTAATAAAGATCTGAAATTCCCTATTCATTTAACACACTGGATTGACATATACACAAACATTACCATCTTTTACTGTCTCTTTTGTTAAGCCTCTTCCATAGTGCTGGTTTTGCGTCTCATAGCTGTCAGAATGAATGTGATAAACCTTAATTAAAAAAAACAGAAAAATAAAGTTGCACTCCAGCTCATTTCTCAAAAGTTCCTCTTTGCTCTAGGATTCATTCCAAGGTAATACTCTGCATTCATGGAGCAGGTTTTCTTCAGTATGAGACATCCACACAATTAACTCCAAACAATTCCATACACTATGTTGTCGAAGGCTTTCACAGCCAGAGTTCATTAGTTGTTGTAGATTTTCTGGGCTGTATGGCCTTGGTCTTGGCATTGTAGTGCCTGACGTTTCGCCAGCAGCTGTGACTGGCATCCTCAGAGGTATAACAGAGAAAGATGGAGTACTCTCTGTGTCAATGTGAGAAGGAAAATGGTAGACAGGTAATTTATATCTACTCAGGAAGGGCTGAGGTGGGGTAGGGCTGAGTGATTATCTTGTAGGAGTTTCCCAAGCTGTGACATGCTAATGGAGGAGCTTTCATGAGGAGGTTCTTTTGCATATGAATTGGCTGTTGAAATTCTAATCTTATCTGTAGTGCTGTTGTAAGACCTAGAGCATTTTGTTTTTCAGGACTGGAAACCATGCCCTATTTCTTTTTAAACTCTCTTCTTTCCTGTTGAAATTGGGTCTATGTTTATGAATTTCAATGACTTCCCTGTGTAATCTGACATGGTAATTAGATTTCTTGTCAAGCATTTCAGTGTCTTGGAATAAGATACTGTGTCCTGTTTGAGTTAGGCTATGTTTAGCCACTGCTGATTTTTCAGGTTGGCCAAGTCTGCAGTGTCTTCATGTTCTTTTATTCTTGTCTGGATGCTAAGTTGTGTGGTCCCAATGTAAACCTGTCCACAACTGCAAGGTATGTGGTATACTCCTGCAGAAGTGAGGGGGTCTCTTCTGTCTTTTGCTGATCGTATTCTGCTCTCAACTAATGCTCATGCACATCTCTTTGGCTGTATGAAAACTTATGCTCTTGGCAGCAAAATGAGTAAGGAGATAGAAGCATGTGAGAAATTAACAGTACCCTAAAGCATTACTAGACACAGGACACAAGTTCTGTTACAAGACATTTATTCCTGAAGCTTCATGGAGGTCTCCCATGTACATCAGATAACAGAAAATATGATATTTACATTAGTAGCTGATCCTCAAGCTGAGTAATGTTGGGGGGAAAGGAAATCTGCTGCCTGGAAGCTAACTGTGTAGTCTTTGAATATGCTTCAGTGACCGAGCCTGGTTTATAAAGTCAAAGGTAAAATCATTCACATGATAATTGAACCAAAATAAGCCAATTAACATTTCACTAAATAGATGGTATGCAGGAGTGTTACAGTAAAAAAGGCAGTATGAGCTTTGCAAGCACAGACAAGATAGAAGATGCAAGGCAGAAGTGCTACTTTCCACCCCACTGAGGTCCCTGGGTGTATACTGACGCTTGAGTTAACTTCTGACAAAACACATCAATGAATGTTCTTAAATCCCTGTCTCACAGGAAAGGGCGGTCTAGAAAAGGAATTTAATAAATAAATAAATGAGCGTCTGGAGGTGGTAACAATCAGGATGACAACCAGTAAAACAACGCTCAACCCAGAAAGACTGAGGTGCCTCTGGTCAACAATATGGCTAATCTGGGAATGAGGATTCAGCATGTACTGGAAGGGACTTCAGTTCTCTTGAAGAATCAGGTTCACTTCTTCAAGGAACCTTTAGATCCAACTCTACAGATGAAAGTGCAGGTATCCTTCATGAAATAAAGTGCTGTTAGCCACTTAGACTTGTTCAACAGCTGAAGCCTGCTCCTTAAGAAACATGATCTGACCAGTTATCCATGCTCTGATCACATCAAGGTTGTAATATTGAGATGCACTGTACCTGGGGCTGCCCTTGGACAGTTTGGAAGTTTCAATTACTACAAAATGTTGGAGAGATTGCTTGCTGGCATAACATATAGGGAACATTCTGTACTGACACTGGATGTTGATTTGCTTCCAGGCCCAATACAAAGGGCTGGTTATCACTACCGAAGCCCTACATGTTGTATGTGCCCCCATCTTTTGAAACAAGGCGGGCAAAAACTAGATACATGGCCTTATCAATTATGATGACTGGCTGGGAATGCCCACCCCATGCTGGTCCCTACGTTTTTGAGCTGAAGTGACAATGATTTTTTAAAAAATGAGGCTACTTTCTCCCCTTGCACTTGCAGAACAAAAAGACCCACAGATCTCAACTATGGGATGGGGCCATAGTTCAGTTTACCAGTTTGGTGTAGTGGTTAAGAGTGCGCACTCTAATCTGAGAGAACCGGGTTTGATTCCCCACTCCTCCACTTGCACCTGCTGGATGACCTTGGGCAAACCATAGTTCTGTCAGAGCTGTTCTTGAAAAACAGCAGTCTCTGTCAAGAGCTCTCTCAGACCCACCTTCCTCACAGGGTGTCTGTTGTGGGGAGGGGAAGGGAAAGGAGTTTGTAAGCTGCTCTGAGACACCTTTGGGTAGTGAGGGCGGGGTATAAATCCAATCTCTTCTTCTTCTTCAGTGGTGTAGCTCATGATGTCCTGCTCTGAACCACAGCAGCTCCACTTTAATAGAAATATGGAAACAAAGTCCGCAAAGGCTTCTTCCCTAAGATCTTACATGAGTTGCTGATAATAAAGGTGGGTAATACCAAGCCTGATGGATCAATGCTCTGGCTCAGTATAAGGAACATTATTTTCCTTAAAATATGTTTAAAACTAGATACTCCTTGACGCTACAAAGCTTGTGCTTACCAGAATCGAACTGTTTCAGCACTATTCTGTGTATATGTTACAAGGAATTCTGTATCTTAAGAATATATGCATATGGTTTGAGTTAAATAACGAAGAAAATACAGATGAAAACACAGATATCATGTTTGACTAGAATATGAAACAAACCACGAAATACTATCTAACTCAGGAGATCTTTTCACCAAAAAAAGAATTAGAATCAAAATATAGTGTAAAAATATTGTACACATTACAAAAATCATGATAAACAACGTGGGCAAAAATTTTAATCTCTTGGCAATATTATTCAGTAGAACAAATGGGGAGAGAGGGAGAATCTGAGAAAAGAAAAGAGGTCAAGAAAACACCATGATAAAGGAGAAAGCAATGTAGGAAAACACATTGTAAGGGAAGAGTGCATTTAAGCTCTAGGACACATCCAAATTTACTATATTACTATGCATCATTTTGAGAGAGACTGACAGACAGAACACCTTGGAGAGACCCCCTTAAGATATCATTCAATTCAGTTCAAAAGACTTCTTCTGTTTTCCCCCAAGACTGTAACCATGGAGATGTCAGGAGTGGGTCCTATTTTTACACGTGCGTGCACACACACACATCCCTTAAGGAAGGTAGCAATGGGCAATCTCTCCTATTTGGTAACTTACTTGTTACCAAAATGTGAGAAGTAAAGAATACTCACTCTCCATTTCTACTATGTACAATCCTAGGAGAAAAATATTTTCTGAACAGGTCTTTAATAGTCCATTTCTGGACAAGAGCACAAACCTATCAAAAATCCAATGAAGAATTACTTCTTACCCTCATGCCAAGCACCAAGAACCCAATCTCCTCCATTAGTGGGTACTTGCTGACCTGCTGTTTAATCTTCTCAGCTGAGGCATATGGATCGTAGCTTTTCTGGCCTATTTTTACATCCATTATACATGGGTTTTTAAATCTATGGGTCACATCTTCCAGTTTCAGGTACAAATCTGTTAACAATCCGGAATAAAGCATTATACTAATTGCATTATCTAAATCAACCAAACCATTAGATGCCACCAGAAACTAAAGCAAAGCAGCACAGTAGGATCATAAATCTGCCTATTATTTTGGATTCACAGACTGCACCCCACTCCATCCTACCCAAACAGCTACTTACTATGACCTAGCTCTCTACTCTCTTCATTGTCTGTCCCCACACATTATCAGCCCACATTCAAAATTAAACCAGTGTTTAAGGTTTGTTCAAATACTACTTTGCTTAGCCTTATTTTGTGCAAGTGCTGCTCTATAATTGTACTTATATGAATATTCCATTACGGCATCTGCAGTATTGCTGTGGGCAGCTGAATACAGAAAAGGTATTTTGACATATGAGCACTACACTAGATCTGAAGATACTAAACCCAATCTCACTTAGTTTGCAGAAAGTCGCCCCTATTTACCACATACTTCCTATTTGTCAGACCATATCAGTGAACAATTTTATGATGTTCTACATGATAGGACTTTATCAAACAGCACCAAGGTTCTCAGTTTCTGACATTATGAAAGGAATCTCCACAATTGCGTTTATCTAATTATAGCCTACAACAGAGTCACCTAGGCAATAGTACCATTTGGAGCAGTAGGTGGTGACCAGGTCCCATGATATTTTGGCAAATATTTTCGCAGTTCTAGAAACACAGGATCTTCACAGTCGGCAGCATACACCTGAAATAAAACAGATATTTTAAAAAATCTGTGTGAGAGCTACTCACATACTTCCTGTAGCAAGCTAATCTTAGGCATGTAAGACTCCTTAAGAAAAAAGAAACATCTTTTTGGAGTTGCCCTTCAAAATAAAGGCGATTAATATACATAAAAGCTGACAACTGATCAAACCTTATAAACAATACAGGTTCAAGTACTGCAATATGGGGGGGGGGACTTTCACAATTTAGCACAGTACAGCCAGTGCTAAAGAAAGCTTATGCAGCAGTTGCAGTGGGGGGAGTACACACAGCCATGCGTTTGAACATCTGTGGTGAATAACTTATATCTCATTGTGGGGGGGGGGTTGGGGGGAGTAGTAATCCCTCTTTTACCTTCACTGAAGGTAAAACTATATCAAGGATTGGATCTAGATCAACATTTCTGAGGGTACATGGACTTTCACCCAGAGTGTGATTTTCCTGTCAACCCTTTCCATAGCAGCCCAAAATGGAAAACTGTTCCACAGGCAGAAACCGTTGCTCCAACAAAATGTAAGTCTGGATCCAAGCCCAAGTGATACACTTGAGTGCTCTGCATTTTCTAAGATTACTAAAACAATAACTTTTAGAAAATTATTATGTTGGAATGATAAAGCCATCCCATGGGAAATATTTGATGTAAGAATTCTTAAGTCAACGTTATCAACTATTGGTATAACTTCCATAAACAAGAGCAGCCACTACTGGAATATATCTACACACGCTTGTCAGGGTCTGAACAGCCATGGAGCTGTTACAAGCTAGGAATTCTGAGCTTCTACTTAACTATATTTGTTACCTACTCCCAAAATATTAACATTTGTCCATTAAATATGGGTATTTCCCAGTTTTGCGTTGTTCATTCACTATCATACTTAAAAAAATACCAGGAACATTAAATCCTACTGTACATCCCAAAACATCTTCATGCAGGGTCCCTATGCATTGACAGAAAGAAAGTGACTTTCTAAGTTTTCTATAACTTGCCAAGCTGGAAATCAATTAGGACAATATTAAATGTCTATTTTAAAGTAATGAAGCAATCACAAAATCTCTTTTCTACCCCAAAGAAGAACATTGATAAATTCACAGAGAAAGATACAGGAAAAGACAGAACCCCTGTTTTAGGGAACTCTGAATGGGGAAAATGTTCATTTATACCACCTATATCAAGGGAATGAGCTTTCTTTAAGTAAAATTCCATTTTCAAGATCTCTTTTTTCTGTTCTCAGCTCAGTAAAAACCAGTTGTCAACAATTTGGTGAGAGCACCCCTCCGCACACTGTCCATTATGAACTCAAGGCCAGTCGACAGGCATCCAACAGCCCTGCTAATTAATTCACTGGCCACAGCTGTAATTTTGCTCATCTTCCAGAAAGTTATCTCAAGACAGTGTCTTGACTGACTGAAAGAAGTCAGGAGATCAGAAGTTTCCTGTAAATGCAGACTATCCTCATAAGTTTCACTCTTATTCCTTTTCCCCCTAAAACATACTTTTCCTTCAATACCTCTGTCTTTTGGCTCTGATGTGTTATTTTGCCATTGTATCTACTTTGGACTTCGCTGCTAGGATGTTTCTGTGAATTCAAACTAAGGCTAATGGGTTAATTTTAGGAGTCTAGTTTCCACATTGTCATTGCACTATAAAATTCTGCTCTCATTAAATTTTACATGTTACTCTACACAGACTCATCCCAGGCACATGACTGTGGACACGGCATCCAGTTTCTTACACTGAAAAAAGGTTAAAGAATCTGATCCACATGCAGAAAATACACTTCATTGTACAATACCATTCCTAAATGGAGTAGCTGTGCACTGCTTTTGGCTTTAATAAGGAATGCAACCATTCGCAGCTGAATGTTTCAGCCAAAGTCGCTCAGAGCTCTTGTTCTAACGAACTATTTACATTTCACTCCATGCTCACATTGACATTACTCTAGGCAACTCCTGCTGGAAGGTACATAATGCTCACCACCCAACTCTGCCACCAAAAGCATATTTATCTCACTCCCCCCATCAATGCTCCCTCTAAGCTGTGGGGTCTTGTGAGCAAAAAGTCTACTTTGTGAGCTCCTGGCATTAAAGTTGTGAGTGAGCGACTTGGCCGCTGCATAAATCAGTTTCCTCTGGAGCCATCCTTCCTGAGTGAAGGCAAAAATGTGTGAGTCGGAGGCTTAAAAACTGTGAGCTGGCTCATACTATCTCAGCTTAGAGGGAACACTGCCCCCCATTTCCTCTTCAGAAGAGTATTAGTTTTTATTCTATACGCAGCCTGCAAACAACTTCTGCGCTGCCTATGCCGTGATACCTGGTTAACCACTACTAGTTACAGCCCAGCCACTGCCTTCCTGTCCAATGTGATCTTTTTAACAAGATAGCAAGAATACTCTAATGCCCATTAGTAACAAAAATGGCTGTTGCATAATATTAGCTATGCGTACCAATAGACCACCCTCGGTTAATCAATAAGATGCTACAGTTGGCCAATGCTATCACTTCTTAGTACAAGGCACATTCAGGGAAAAGGAAAAGCTGGAAGAACACTGAGTAGCAACTACACAAATGGCATCAGCAGCATTAAAAGAGTGGCTGATGTATGGACAAGATGATCCCTGATTTGGAAGCCAAGATTCACTGCTGTTTGAAAGCTGCATTATTTAATATATAAGCTTTGCTCCATAATTCAAGACATCAGTAATGAGGAAAATGCCCACCACAGACATATTCTCCATCAGCATGTGCAATAGACAGCCAGACCTAGCCCACCTATTTTATACAGCACTAAGTGGCTGCACAATTTAAATGCAGAGAGCAGTATCCAACCACTCTGAATATGGAATGCAGTTTTCCCATGATCCTCTCCACTCCTGCAGTACCTTCTGACTCCTGGGAATGACCACTCCAAACACTGTAGGACCCACACAGAGGAATAGCCATGAGAGCTGGGCAGAATGAGGAAGCGCAGGGAGTGTGAAATGGTTCCTCTTTCCTTTTCCGTATAAGAATTCAATGTCAACCAGAGAATCGTTCCTCTTTCCTTTCCCTTGTGTTGTGCACCAGAGACAAAGCCAGCCAAATTCTAGATTGCTGGTTACACCACTATACCATCTACACTTGTTACTTAAAGCACTTAACATTTGCACTACTGGTGCAACTCTTCTAGAAAAGGAATAAATTTTGGGCCCAATATATCTAATTGCCATCCTCTAATGTTAGTCACATTCTCCAAGAGTAACCATGATCACCAGCTTTAGAATTTGCAATCTGGGTCAGCAAGAGTATTCAGAGGGTTTATGGGAGACATAAAAGGGTGTTCAAGGTATAAATTCTTCACTTAGAGGATTACCTTGTTATAGAATTCTAATTCTCTGGGTCCTCGGGGGGGTGGCTGCAATTGTTTCAACACTGTGCCATCAGGATGTTGCAGTATTCCTGGGGGGGCAGAAAAAAAGCCAAGTTTGTTCACAGTTCAACTCTGAAGATAATCTTTTTGTTTGTGTGTTTGGAGGGGGCTAACTGTAATTTCAATTGTTCAGTATTAAACATTTGAGTTTTTCCATAAACAAGAATTGGCAAGCATATTAGTAATCCACAAAACAAAAAACTTTCTTTCTTAGAAAGTCTGTCTTAAGAAAATTATAAGATCAATAAGGAAGACATCACAACAACTTTCAGCCAACGGAGATATCCGGTTTCTACACTACCATACACAGGCTGTTTTCCAAGAAGAATCAGACAGAATACTAAGAGATGCCTCAACAACACACATATGGACACAAAAATGTTTTTCAAATGACCATTTGGAGTCTGGCAACGCATCCTGCAGACCAGACATGCCTCTTCTGTTGAGCAAGAGCCTCATGATTTTACAGCTGACCTCCCTCCTATTTTCATTTCCAAACACTGTCGTTTGTTCTGGACAGTTTCAGCTTCACTTAAGTTTACTGAACAATACATAGTCAATTAAAGCTGTGCAAGAGCCAAAATTCCCAGATCAAAGCAAAACAATTTGCAGCTCAGATAATTCCTAAATTACCACTTACCTAATCACCTTGCAAAGAATTAACCTAAGTGCAAAGTGTTTTGCTTTGCTTTGATCCAGTAAACTATATTCTTAATTAACCTTGCAGAATCTGCTGCTAGATTAAAGGTAAAGTTTTTATGTGATCTTTTCAAAGTACTTCTTTGCTATGCTTGAACTACTAAAATAGGTCTGATCTAAAGATTTGAAAGGAAACCTTACAGGAAAAAAACAAGCTCATAATTTAGAACACGATGACAAACCTGTTTAAACAAAGGATAGCAACAATGTTCTTTTTTGCATTTAACTTAATTTAGGAACAGCCTTTGAGGAAATGCAAATGTCATATATGCCCTGGGTAGTCGGTTTTTTTGTTTTGCTTTCATCACTGGTTAAATGAGAAGACCAGTGTGTTCAAGATCAAATGGAAGAGCCAAAATCCACCCTGCAAATAAACTCATAGAAGTTACCACTCAACATATATTGTTGCTAATCTCCCTGTCCATAAATACTTAGGTTAGTATGAACTACAGAGGAAATATAAGATTTTTGTTTAGCTCCCCCTGCCTTAAAGCTAGTAAAACTGGCCTAAAATACCCTCCGTAATTTCAACAGCTTTGTAGATACACCCCTTGTCACATATTACAGGTGGTATCTGAAGAAGTGTTTATGCACATGAAAGCTTATACCCAGAATAAAATTTTGTTGGTCTTAAAAGTGCCACTGGACTCAAACTTTGTTCTTATACTACAGGTGAACTGTGATGATAAAGCACAGGCAGTATGTCCCTGAAAAGGGTTTTTTGCTTTCTTGTATAATGTGTTTAGTTTATAAACAGTCACTGGCCCAGCTGTTGGGGCAAGACAGCATTTTCTCCAGGTGATCAGGGCAAGAAGCTTTTTAAAACTGTAAGAAAGTTGACCCTTTAACCTTATTAGGCTATGACTAGCATAGGTACTTCTGAGCTTTTATAAATCCAATTCAAGTCATTACCTCTTGTAATCTATCATGAATGCCTACCTTTTATAACAGCACAGCAGTATCACTAATTAGGATGGCTGATAGTTCATGCTAGATGGCTGTGTTACCATGAAAGCAACACATTCACATATGTATCTTTCTTGGAAGAAAAACAAGGATAGAGATCTGACCCCTTGCATGTGGTTGCAGTTTAAATTCCTATAAAAGTCATGAAAGTGACATAAATAAGTAAATGCTGGATCATCTGAAACCTCCTCACTGCTGCTGTACTTTTTGTTTTAAGAAGGTATGGTCAATATGTAATAAACCTGTAAATACAGAAACTTAAAAATGAGACTGCAAACTTACCTAATTTAATAAACCCTTTTTTAAAAAAAATTAATCTGGTCAAACCCATTCCACTTGGCCTTGATAGAAGGATAAGACACGAGCCCCTGCCTGGCACAGTTGCTCCACTCAGAGGTTGGCTGGGAGAGACCTGAGGAAATGTGGAAGACATTGGTGCTACTGCTGCCATAGATCTGTCTCTGCATCCCCTTCTCTTTGAAGCAAGAGCAGCAGCAACCAGCTCCTTCCTGCCCAACTCATGAGCAATAACTGTGGTACAGCCAAGTTCCCCTGCCTCAAATGGGCCCAAGCAACTGAGTCCATGCCCGCCCCAGGCACACCTGACCTTCAGCTACAGGGAACATAGTCACAGGTGGGGCCTTATCTCATGCCGATCTTTTCTACCAATTTGCAGAGCCTTCTGTGGACTTTGTATTTCCTAGTTGGAGAATATGTCACAGAGAAAACCCACTCCTAATGCTGAATCTAGAATAACCCTAGGCTCTTAGTTGAGTTAGTGAGTGTCAGCTGGACCCCATCAAAAGTGGGAAGCACAGTGAGCTTCAAACCAGCATCTTCTCAGGATTTAGTTCCAACTTGTTCACCATTAGCCATTTAACGACAGCAGTCAGGCACTGGACCCCTACTTGCAAGGCTCAACAAATCCCAGGGGCCAGGCTGTCATGGTACCTAAAAGTTTCATTGTGCTGCCTAGTATTTTTGGCAATGATTTTACTGTAGCATCTTTCAGTAATTTTCAGTAGAACTGATGACTGCCCACTCCTAAACCACAAATGCTTTCTGCTAAGGGCTTTATACAGAGATAGCATGAAGAGTCTGGAGGATAAGACTGAGCCCTGTGGATAAATTCCACACTGATGACAACTGTTCTCCAATACCAACCCTCTAAGTTCTGCCAAAAAGGAATGGTTTTTAACCAACCCAAGGTGTATCCTTCCTTTTATCCCTGCTTATGCCTACAAACACCTCAACAGGATGGTGTTGTCCACAGTAGGCTGATAAATCTAGTTACAGCAACAAAGAGGCATGACTCTTGTCTACACCCAAACAGAGATCAGAGAGTAAAGCCATCACAGCCAGCCCCAACCCAGACTGAAAAGAATGCCACCATGTATTTTTGGCCATCAATCTGCAGCCAACTCATAGTGACCCCCTAGGGTTTTCAAGGCAAAGGTGGTTTGCCACTGCCTGTCTCTGTGTAGCAATCCTGGACTTCCTTGGTGGTCTCTCATCTAAATACTAACCAGGGCCAACCCTGCTTAGCTTCCAAGATCTGATGAGATCAGTCTGGCCTGAGCAATCCAGATGAGGCCTTTCATTACTTATGGCACATTAATGCAGTATGAATGTTGCATTATACCTTTTTCTAACAATGATACCTGCCCCAACAATCAGGACTGGGCAGAGCTTTCCAAAGCTAGTAGACTCCCCCTTTGATTATGGCTGCAAAGGAAAGTGGCCCACCCTGGTCCACTCCTTCAGTGGAAGGACTTGGCAAGCTATGGAAAGGTCTATCACAACCCTAACAATAAGGATGGGCCACAGCTTTCCAAAGTTTGCAGAGTCCCTATGATTACAAAAGGTGAGAAGGGAGCGAACAAAGCTGATGGGAACAGCTGCAGCAAAGCTAAAAGACAATAGGACAAAGAATTTGAATCTGCTGAAAATACTAGGTACTCAATGGAATTTCTACATGCCATGGTGACCTGGTTTCCAGAATTTGTCACGTACTGGCTTAGATGGGAGTAACTCTGCATTGGATTGCAATGCATAGCTACATAAGCATTTGTAATACTTGACACATTACTTAGTGGCTTAGCTTTAAGTCTGCGAAATATGCTAGATCTTAGGCTTCTCAATATGGCCTAAAAAGATTCTATGCCCTTCTTAAAAAGGAACTACACTGAATGTATACTTCATTTGTTAAAAAATAACTAGGGACCATGTTTTATTACTATTTATAACCATATAATAGATAGGACAATCATAAAAACCAGCCTTTGGACTTTACAGCTGGAAAAAGTCCAAATGAAAAAGTACACAATGAAATCTTCAATCATCAGGTACAATTTGGAAATAATACTGAGTAAGAATTCTTTTTTTTATGAGTAAGAATTCTTCACATCATCACTGTGCAAGTAGTCCCCAACACATACCCTTGAGTGAAACTACAACCAACTAACTTTGTCACATAAGCATAATGTGAATATGATGTTCTTCGCACATATATTATGTTATAAATCTAATAGTATCCTTCCAGGCAGACTTTCAGGGTTGGAACTGGGGACCACTGTTTGGTGGTGATTTCAGCCCTATCTAAAAGGTAGGTTCCAGAGGGGGGCACTGGGGGACCGCTGCTCACCCTCCTGGCCTCAGGGGTTCCTCAAGGCTCCATCTTGTCCTTCATGTTTTTTAACATCTACATGAAGTCGCTGGAAGAGGTCATCAGGAGACTTGGACTGGGCTGTCACCAATACAAGGAGGATCCTCAGACTGGTGCCTGGAAGCAGTTTTGGGAGAGAGGAGGACAAGCAAGCTGAAACTGACAAAACAGGAGGTGCTACTGGTGGGAGGACAGACTGACCCAGTTATTAAGGCATTTCCTGTTTTGGATGGCATTGCACTTTCCTCTAAAGAAGCAGGTCCGAAGCTTGGCCGTGCTGCTGCACCCACGGCTTCTGTTGGATAAGCAGGTTAGCCAGCTGTGGCCTTTCCTGGGCAAAAAAGATCTTGCCACTGTGGTGCATGCCCTGGTTACATCTAGATTAAGACTACTGCAGTGCAGTCTATTCAGGGTGATCCTTTAAAAGTGCCCCAAAGACACAATTTGTACAGAATGATGCAGCAAGAATGGTGGTGTGGGTTGCAGGGGCCACATAATTCTAGTCTTGTTCCACCTACCCTAGTTCCCTATTTACTTTTGGGCTCAGTTTGAGGTGCTTGTACTGACCGTTAAAGTCCTATATGGCTCAAAGGCAGCATACCTTAAGGACCACCTTCTCCCATATGAAACTACCTGACCACGACACCCTGCTTTGGGTGCCCCTGCTCATCTGAGGTTAGACAAGCAAGAACCCAAGAACAGACCTTTTTCACCATGGCACCAAAACTGGAGACTTTGTTCTCCCAAGGGAGATGGATTGTCCCCTTCTATCATCGTCTTCCACTACCGGGTGAAGACCTTTCAGTTTTGCTTGGTGTTCTCTCAGTGACCTTCCTTCAAGTTTATAGGTCTGTGTTTTGTTGAATTGTTTTTACTATATATATATGTATTTTAATATCTGTTTTAATGTTTTGACTGTTCACCATTTTAAGGAACCTGGACTCTTGTGGAAAGGTGAAATATTTTACATAAAATAGAAACATCTATTGCTCCTAACCCCTTCCATTGATGATCTCAATGTAAATGTAAATGTCGAATGCTATGCTTTTTTTTATACAGCAGATCAAAGAAATACATGGCCTATACGTCCAGTATACTGCATGTGGCACCTCTCTTTACGTGAGTGCTTCCACCTTTTGAGATCACCTGAGGAGGCTTTGCTGAGTGCTGTCCTTCAGAGAAATAACTGAGGGCAGGGGGGAGAAAAGCTCTTTCTCCTTGAGACTATTCTCAAGTTTTCAGGAAAGAGTAATACACTGTTTTGCTGTAATTACAGTGAAATACAGTAGATATGTTCCCTTGTCTCAACAGATTCTGAAACCCATATTCACATCTTTTATACAGTGTCATTTCATTTGAACAAACACTTTTATGAGTATCACGTCCAATGGGCTACACAATGTTATAAAAAGGAGTAAACAGTAGTTTAACATATCTGAAGAGGCATATGAAAGTACACAGTGTAGATCAGAGTGAGAGTATTGGGCTTACCTACCAGAAAAGCCCGGAGGCAGATTCCTGCTCTGCTACACAACTCATTGGACAGCCTTGAACAAGCCATCACCTCTCAATTTAATCTGCCTCACAGGGCTGCTGTGAGGCTGTCAAACTGATCCCATTTTAACTACTTTTTGAGCATAAAAAACGAAGGGTTCAAGAGTGGCAAGAAGAGTTATACAACATAAAGGGAACAATGAACTACTAGTGCAGTCACTTTCTGCCATACTCTACATGCAGCTTCCAAAAAAGGGAAATGAGGCAAGCAAACTTTAACTCAGAAAATTTTCAGCTCAAATGCCATATCTTCCTTTTTAGGTCCATTGACACCTTCCCTCTCATGCACACTTGTCCCATTCCTTCCTATTTCAGAGCAAGTTACATTTAATGATATGCATGCAACAGTGTTAAAACAGAAAGGGGGAACGGCACCTGTCCAAAAACAAAGGAGCCCACAGGCACCCTTGGCAGTATTACATGAGCACTAAACCTGCAAGTATTTATCTAGCATGGGCTGGAAGTCCCAAAGACTCAAATAAAATAGGCAAACCATGAACAATTAACAACCCAAAGCAGCTCCCTTTAATGGCATATTTTACATGTATGTGAAAACTCTTCATTATTTACATCTTCATCACATTGTTTTAAAGGTGCCTAGTAATTTGAGATATACTTCAACATACCAAGTTATCCTCTTGCCTAATCCAGAAAATTGAAACCCCAGTCAAAAGAGACCAAGAAAGTCACTTCAGTGGTATAACGTCAAGGTCTTGCTTCTTT